GCCACCCTACACAATCACATGAGCCAATTCCTCGAAATAAATCTTTTTATATATATAAATATATATATATATACACACACACACACACACACATATACAGACACACACAGACATGTGTATATACATACACATGTATATACATACTTTTTATTTATATGTGTATATATATAAAATTATAAAATGTGTTTGCCTGATATACCTGACCCTCCCCTGGTGCTGTTCTGTGGGGAAGGATGGTACACTGGGGAGCTTGCATTTATTTTTGCCTCTTGTTTACATTATATCAGTGAGTGAACAAAGACTTCATTGTTACTTCCAAAAAACAAAAACAAAGCAAAAGTAAGAACAAAAAATATTCCAAAATGTAGTGGCTTAAAACTTACTTCATTGATGTACTTACAGTTTGGGCAGGGCTTACCTGGTATGGCTTGCCTTCACCGCCTGAGGTTTTTAACTGGGATAGTTGCTCTGTCAGTATGGCTCCCTCTCCTGGTTGGAAGGTAGGTGCTTACAGGCCGCTGGCAGCTCAGCTGGGGCTGTGGGTCAGAAGGATCTCTGTTGGTGGCAGTAATCCAAAAGTGAACATTTCAAGGGCACAAGGCAAAACTGCAGGGCATTTTTATGATCTAGCCTTGGAAGTTACATGACATCACTTCCACCATGCTCTAGTGTTTGGTGTGGTCACAAGAGCCCACACAATTTCGAGGAGCAAGTGCATAGACTCTACCTCTTGATGAGTGAGTTTCAAATTTCCAGAAAACATGTGGCAGAGAGTAGAATGGTAGTTGTTAGGGTCTGGGGGCTGGAGTAAATGGAAAAAGTTTGGTAAAAGGTTGCAAACTTTTATTTATAATATGAATAAATTCTGATGATTATCTATCTATCTATCTATTTATCTATCTATCACGTGCATAGTGTGGTGACTATAGCTGATAATACTGTCTTGTATAATTGAAATTGATTGGTTAAGAGATCTTAAGCATTAAGTAGATCTTAAGTAGATCTTCATCACTTAGTAGATCTTAAGTAAAGCTTAGGTAGACCTTCCTGCCATACACAAAATGGTAAATATGTGAGGTTATGAATGTATTAATTAACTAGAGTGTGAGAATCCTTTCACAATTTGTACATATTATCAGATCGTGTTGTGCATATTAAATATATTACAATTTCAAATTGTCAATTATGTCAATGATTCCTCAGTAAAGCTAAAGAAAAGAATTAGAAAACATGCGGGACAGGAGCTATTTTTGTGTCCGTCTTTGAAAAACAAAATATGCCCCTGATGCCACTGTCTGTCCTCTGGCCACAATAAATATCACCTCTTCACGTACGCAAAGTATCTCACCTTCTCCCACAAGTCCCCCACATTCTCATCGTATTATGGGATAAGGCTCACACTCAGACTTGAGGTTTATTAGTTCCATGTGTACCATTTTTTTAAATTAAAAGTCAGTGAACTAAAGAGATAAACTATGACCTGTTCATACCCCCAGCATACAATGATAGGACAGGCATGAGACAATCAGTATACACATTCCTGCTCAAAACAAAGGGAAACAGGGGGTTCACAGCTGTCACTGGTCCATGTCAATCCTAAAACCCAACGGGACACATATCACCAGTTTCTTGATTACGGATAATTACTACTCTGAGTGTTGTTCTCTGGATTCTGGGCTCCGGGCTCCACTGCCTAAGATCTTATTTCATCCTTTCTTTTTCCATACTAGCAAACATTTAAGCAAAAATCAATACAAACTGAGTCTGAAACTGAGTCACCTTCTCATTCTACTTCAGGTTCATAAAATGACAGAGATTCAAAGGCATTTATTCATTTTGCACTGTGTCACTTTTAGTGCAGTGTCTTTAGTACAGTGTGCTGGCAGGACTTCTACCAACATATTTCTCTTAAGGTGCTGTGAGTTATTCTGTGAGTCTTATTGTGGTTCCCTCCACAAGATAAAAGTCACAACCTTATGAAACTGTTGTGAGATAAAGTCATGAAAATTCTGAGAAGCTCTGTAGTTTCCTGGAGAGAATCTGTAAATCATCCCCTTATAATCTTTAAAGGGCCGTTTGTCTGAAAGGCTCTCTGAGTCCCAGCCTTATAGATGTCTGAGGCCTTAGAAAAGGAGCTTAGATTCCCACTCAGGATTTGATCTTTGGCCTAAGGCCCTTTCTAAATATAAGAATCATTTGTCAGAATTGTCTAAGAATGAGAAATAATTTTATTTTTTAATCCAGTACATCTTGGCTTTTTTACATTAAACATTTTCTCCTTAGCGCATATCTATCCTCTTGTTTTGTCAGAAGCAGTGAGAAAACTGTAGGTGTAGCTTTCAAATATTTTGCCTGGAAGTGTGCTCAGTTATATCATCACATTCATTAAGGATATTTCCTAGTATCTACTTTCTGGCAGGTGACAGAACCTCCAAGGTTTCTGCCACATCTTAACACAGATTTCCTTCTCTTCAATTTTCAATATCATCTTTCTTACTTTGAGTTTTCACCGAGAGCCTCCGTGAAGCCCTTCAGGGACTCAGAGGTGACCAGCACCCTCCTCAAGGCCCTTCCAGCTTCCGCCTGCCATCCAGCCCCAAAAGCTCATTCCACATTTGAGGATTTTTAGGGCAGCACCTGAGCTCCAGGTGCCCACACCTGTGACAGCTCATACTCCTGCACAATAAACCACCCCAACATTTTATTACCATGCCCATTCTATGCATCAGAAATCTGGGGAAAGCCTAGATGAACGGCCCTTGTTGGAGTCTCTAGGGCAGTTGCGGTCAGGCAGTGACTGTAGCTAAGCTGGAGTAGGTGGGGGCCGGTCAGGCACTTCTCTCTCCTCACACAGTCACAGGGATTCTGCATGGATGCTTTCCCATGGGATAGTTTGGGCTCCGTTTCCACGTGGCAGCCTCAGGACTCCAGCATGAGTGTCTCAGTGGGCAAGGTGAGAGATGCTTAGTCTTTTCTTTTTTTTATGGATAAATTTACCTCTTTAATTTAATTTTTTATTGTAGTCAACTTACAATGTTGTGTCAATTTCTGGTATACAGCATAGTGATTTTTTATACATACATATGTGTATATGTGTATGTATATGTATATGTGTATATATATATATTCCTTTTTATATTCTTTTCCATTTTAGGTCATTACAACACATTGAATATAGTTCCCAGTCACAGTCTTCTCTTACTTTACCTTGGGGATCGGACAGCATCATACCCATCACGTTCTGTTGGTTATAAGTCATAAATCCATAAACTTAAGGAGAAGGGAATTAAATTCCATACCTGAAGGATGTGTCAAGTTTCTACAACAGAGTTTGGCAAAGTCTCTGCAAAAGGGCAAATAGTAAGTATTTTAGGCTGTGCGAGCCACATACAATCTCTGTTACGTATCCCTCATTATTTTATAATTGTTAAAAAATACTAAAAAAATTCCTAGCTTCTGGGCAGTAAAAAAACAAACAAACGAAGAGGTGGTATAAATCCAGGCTGATTTGCTTCATAGCCTGTAGTTTGGCAGCTTCTGTTCCAGAAGGACACGTGGGATGAAGGCTATTGTTGCTGCAGCCATCTAGGAAAATACAGTATGCCACAACAGCGAGTGTGAAGGGGACGCTCAGGCAAGATGACCACTGAGGCTGGATGTCAGAGAGTACAAAATAAAGTAGAAAATTAGACTCGATGTAAAGGATACTAGACCATGAATACTTAGTAACGCTCATCATCAGTTCTAATGCCCAAATTTATAAAATAGCTTCCAAATTCTGGGGGCTATATGAGGCATTGGGAATATCCAAGTAAGACTAAAACATAGATCCTTTATTTGAAGAGTTTGCATTCTATTAAAGGGACACACACATAGACAGATGACGGTACAGCATGATCAGTGTTCTAGGAAATGTTTATGCAAAGTGCTGTCAGAGATGAGGGCATAGAAGGAAATTTAGTTTTGTCTTAAGGGCTGGCTTCCAAGAAGAGGGGATATTCAAGGATAATTTTAAGTTATTTAGCAGAGAAAAGGAAAAAAGAAAGAAGAAATGCACTATAAAATAGTCATGAAGGTGCATGCTATATTCAGTAAGCTGTGAGTAGGTTAGGACTGCAAAGTTAGAAGAAGTGGTATGGGTGCTGTAAAAAAGTGGATAGGTAGAACCAGTTTAGGAAGCGCCCTCTACAACATGCTAAAAAGATTGAGGCTTTTGACCAGGAGTTTTCAGGTCTTTTGCTTAAATTCTTAGGCTACATCAGAGGTGCTCCAGGATGGAGAGAATAAAATTCTGTAGGCAAAACTCTGGGCCCTCCACTCTCTATCACTCCCATCCTTGCTTTGGCCCAAGAAATTCTCTTTTTATCTATGGAATTCATTGCAGAGAAAATGATAAAGACCATTGCTAACAAGATAAAATAAACTGATAGTCACTGCCATATGCAATGAAAAACCATCAAGTTTTAAAGAAGGGGAATGAGGTTCTGAATTATATGTTTTAAAGGGCTGTTCTGATGATCTTGTGGAGAATATGCAGTGTGGAGAAAGCAGACATGTAACGCAGGGACACGAGTCAGGAGTCTGGCAATTTGAAAAAGCTGCAATTAAAGGCAGTGGTGGTGTAGATTTCATAAATGCACTTAGTGCAGAAAGACACTGGATGCGAATAAAAAAGGGGAAGTATAGCCAAAGGATGATGAGTAAGAAAAACTGCAAAATATACTCTGATGCAAATAAAATAAGAAAAGCAGGTTTGGAGTTTGAGGAAGATAATGAAATTGATTATGAACATGTTAGTTTGAGGTATTTTCAGAACAATACTCAGTAAGCTGTTAAAAATACGTATTGGGGGATAAAGCAGAAGTTAGAAAACCTTCATTAGAATTCAGCCAAAGACCTGGGAGTAGATGACGTCCCAATAAGACATGTGTAACAAAAAAGAAAAGTGAATCAAGACTGAACCCGAAGGAGTCAAGCCTTTAAGAGCTAGTGAAAGAGAGTAAAGATAAATAAATAAAGAAATAACGGAGAAACATAGAAAAACAGGAAAGATCAAAGGATCCAAATTAAAACAGAGCCTGAGAAAGAAGTAGTCAACAGAAGCAAATTCATCAGAGATGAAATAAGAAGCCACTAGACATTGGAGTGAGAAAGTCATTAGGGAGTTTTGCAAAAAGCTTTAGTAGAAAAGTAAGAAAAGAAGATTTGGTGGGCAATTTCTGAGCCTTCTTGTTTTGATTCATCCTGTATTTTATATTACTTGTTGGACTGACTTATATTGATTTACAAATACAAGTGCAGAAATTAGCTCTGTTAGAAGTCCTCAAAGAAGTAAATAAAATAAATAGCACAGAAAAATTACTAAATTTCAAAATGTGCGATTAAAATTTACATTTAAAATAAATTTCTGAAAATTTTCAAGTTTATTTTTTTCATAAAAATAGTTCCATAATGAAATATTGAAAGAGCATACTATGTAGCTGAAAAAATGTACATTGAATAGTAAACACAGACATTCTGATAAAATTGCTAGATTATAATAAAAGAAAAATATCCTTTGGGCCTCTAGGAAAAGTCACTTGTAAGTGAGAAAAATTAAATTATTATTAGACATTTCAATAATAATACATTTGTGCCAAAGGACAATGAAATAACACATTTAATACTCTAGGACAGAAAACGTGAGCCAGTGACTTGATATCCACTGCCTTTTAAATGAAAAGTATATTTTTATAAATATACAAGTACATAGTATTTTCACAATCACTTCCTAAGGAAATATTATTTCCAAACAAATTTTCTGAGAAATCTTAAAGAATTAGATCAGATTACTAAGTGACAGAAAAAACATCAGCATGCATAATGGTGATGAACATAAAAAATTTTCCTTCAGAACTGAGATTAAATAATGATTATTAAAAAGACACAAGGGGTCATAATAATGGTTATAAAAGAGTAAATTATGACAAACTTATATACTCTGATATATAGAAAGATTATATTCATAAAAAATAAGAAAGGGAAAGAACTGAATGGAAGTTAAAATAAACTTTTGATTGCTTTAAAGTTATTAATTGACACTAAAATTGATTAGTTTATATCAGATGATAAGGGAAAGGAGGGGAAGTAATTGGTTAATAGCTAACTTCCTTATTGCTCATAGGAGGGTACCAATACATAATGAGAGGAACAAAAGATTATTGACTTTATATAGAGTTATTAATGCAAAAATAAATATTTAAATAAAAGTAAAAACCCTCCTAAAGATAAAAGTAAAGGTTGGGTAAATAAATAAGTTATGTAATAAAATGATTATACAAACTAAATAAGATTATTAACACAGACCAAATATAACAATCATATCAATAAGTGCAAATGAGCTTGATGAACCTAGTAAGTAAAAATATTTTTATATTGCTTAGCAAGCAGCATATTGGATAATAAATTGGCAAAGGGATTCAGAAGGGACCAGTCAAATGAAATATGGTATGTCCAGCAATGAGACAGGGCAATAGGATGGTGTGGATGGCATATAATTCTATGCAGATAATTTCTAGTTTGTCTGAGGTAACCACTATTTTGAGTCTTATATTCAATTTCTCCTTTATTGATTTATTTTATAGTATAATTCTTAATTGCACCTATGTGTATTACTTTAGAGCACATTTTTGAATTTTAATTCTTTTCATTTATTTAAAAATCATGTAGTATGTCTTCTTTAGGCCTTTCTTTTCACCTCTGTTAATGCCAACATTTATGTGGGTCTAGTTCATTTACTGTGACTGCTCTGTAATAGTTGTGTGTGTTGTGTGTGTGTGATTGTTTGCGTAAACTTATTCATCCTCTTTTCCATTGTTACCCACGTGGGTTTATTCTAAGTTTTTCCTATTGTGAATAGTGTTATTGTGAATGGATATTCCTGTACCTACATAAAGCAGGGAAATATTCTCATCTTTTTTCACCTGGTTAATTAGGTTTTCCATCTTATTTTTTCACTCATTTGACCTGCCAACTCTGGCTTATTCCAAGCTCCATACCTGCATCGGCCAGTGTGTGGGCCCTCTTTCTGCCCCCTTGGTCTATTTCTGTCAATACTGAAAAACAGCTTAATGACTATGGTTTCATAAGCGCATTTCTCCACTCTAGGGTCCCACCCTCCTATCCAAGATTCAATATTGAATGTAACTATCATTTCTTCTTAGTTTCCTACAATTTTCAACAGTTCTTCAGCTTTTTCTTGTCTTTCAGGATCTTGGAAACTTTTGAAGCACTGGTAAGTTATTTTTCAAATTCTCTCAATTTGTATTTGTCTGATACTTTGCTGAAATTAGACTGTGGTTGTGCTATTTTGGTAAATATGCCCTAGGAATGATATTGTGCTTTTCTGACTGCATCGTGTCACGGAGTTCATGATGATGATGTCATTACTGGGGATGTTGTCACTGGTAACTTGGTCAAGGTGTCTTCTGTGGGCTTCCTCTACTGTAGCATTACTACCTACCAATTTTTAATTAATACATTTTTGGGGAAAGATACTTTGATATGATGC